TACCACCTTGCGTTTTAAGGCAGCTTTGTTGAAATAAGTGCATTTGAAATGCTCGTCTCCTTGCTAGGGTGGCCAAAAACTAGATGCGCCATGCTTACTGATCGAACTCCGCGGAAAAAAGAGAAGCTCGCGCAGCAGAACAAGCTCAGCTGCCTTAGTTTAGCCCCAAGGCATTACAGGAAGAGTAGGTCCTGCAGCGTGATCGATGAGCACCCCTCTACTAGAGGTTACGTCCGGTCTGATTGACTCTGCCCTTAAAACGAGTTACGCGAAAAATGCGCTGGACCAACACGGGGGCAAGAACAGAGTCCAGCGGGCGTTACTGGGACTGCACACCCATTTTAAATGCCAGCACGGAAGGTGTGGCGGTACACCGCTGTGAGGGCTCACGAAACGCCCACTGTGACCCGTGTCGTCCCTCCAACGTTTCTTGTGCAAATCCTGGTCTGTGTCCCTTGTGAACCAGGGCTGTGGTGGTGCGCCTGGGTGCGAGTTTCCGCCGTGCCAATTACCTGCTTGCACTCCCATCTCTTGTCCCCCAACTCTGCTTAGACACCGGGTCCAGGTTGGTGGGGGCAGGAGAGAGTGCGACAGGCGCTGCGCAAGTCCACTATGTCATTAAATTTATTCATGCGCAATTCACCGTCCCCGCTCTTACCCTGCTGTGGGGCAGACGGTGGACATCGTCAACGACGAAGGCCAAGCTGTCCTGTCTGCTACAGGTTATCTCAGTTACTTCGTGCGTGCGTGAGTCAGCAAATCAACGCGCATTAGGCCCGCCCAAACTCCCAGCTTTTGAATTCGCTAGGGACCTCTGCCCATTCTTCCTCTACTCAAAATACAACCAATCGCGACACTTTGGTCAGGAAATGCAGCCCGAATTAAACATGATACCCTAGACAGGAGGAGTGAGAAGCTAGTATACGTAAAGTGATTGACACACTAAAGTTTGTTCACGCCACACGAGGTGAACGCAACACGCTGAATCAACTCCTGCTCATTGTTAATAGAATATCAGAACAAACGATGGCTGTGAATGTCATTTTTAAGTCATTCTCTCCGAGCACTTGTGGGAGTAGAGAT